TTTTTAAAGGGTTTCAGAATCCCATGTTCAAGTAAATTAGGTACATCAATTGCAGAAAATCAAGAGGTAAGGACAAAACTGCTGACATTCCTGGTGGATGTTTACTGTGTTCTGGATATGGAGATGGTAAGGAGGAGATGACATGAGCTGCACATGACAGCCAACAATATAGTGGTTTGGCACACATTTATTGCGGGGCAGTTCTGAGATTAAGGGAAAAAAGGCAAAGCCAAAAAAGAAACAGAAGAAGAAAAAGAAGAAAAGGAGGAAGAAGAAGAAAAGGAAGAGGGAGGAGGAGAAGAAGAAAATGAAGGAAAGAACAAGAAGGAGGAGAAGAAGAAAAAATACCATAAACCACATACAGTCATCTCCACATCCTTATCATTTTCCATGCTGATAAGCATCAGCAGTCATTTTTTGCGATCTCATATGATCACCAGAATTATGGATCAGGTTTATGTTCTTGTCTGGCACCATCCATGCCTTCCTCTCTGTGATCGTCTACCTGAAGAGGACATAGAATAAAATACACAAACAGCCATTTAATACCTGCAGTCGTTTATGCTCCTCTATATGCTGTCTTTCAATCTCCGCCACAGTCTTTGAGGAGATCAGTTTGAGCAGTGGGTGCCTGTTGTCTGGTTGTGGGCTGGCCTGAACTGGCTGGGCTTCAACTTCTGTTACTGATAGAGATCTGAGGAAAAGTCATTGAGGCATCACTGGCAGAGATCTGAGTAAAAAGTCATTGAGGCATCACTGACAGAGATCTGAGGAAAAGTCATTGAGGCATCACTGACAGAAATCTGAGGAAAAGTAATTGAGGCATCACTGACAGAGATCTGAGGAAAAGTCACTGAGGCATCACTGACAGAGATCTGAGGAAAAGACATTGAGGCATCACTGACAGAGATCTGAGGAAAAGTCACTGAGGCATCACTGACAGAGATCCGAGGAAAAGTCATTGAGGCATCACTGACAGAGATCTGAGGAAAAGTCACTGAGGCATCACTGAATGAGATCTGAGGAAATTCACTGAAGCATCACAGACAGAGATCCGAGGAAAAGTCACTGAAGCATCACTGACTGAGATCTGAGGAAAAGTCATTGAGGCATCACTGAATGAGATCTGAGGAAAAGTCATTGAGGCATCACTGAATGAGATCTGAGGAAAAGTCATTGAGGCATCACTGAATGAGATCTGAGGAACAGTAACTGAGGTATCTCAATGTATGGATCTCTATCTGTTCTACTGCAATGTCCATCTGATCCCAAAGAGTTATCATCGCGTCTGCTTTATCGTAAAGTAGCTCACCTCCAGAGGAGCGGCAGCAGCTAATCTATCAGCTGCTCATTGCCTCACACACCCATATATCCTGGACAAAAAATCCATGATATGCTATTGCTTATAATCTTTCCAAGTGATGCAAGCCATTCTACATGTAAGACAGTGCTGCAAGCCATTCTATGTGTAAGACAGTGCTGCAAGTGATTCTAGGTGTAAGACAGTGCTGCAAGCGATTCTAGGTGTAAGATAGTGATGCAAGCCATTCTATGTGTAAGACAGTGCTGCAAGCCATTCTAGGTGTAAGACAGTGATGCAAGCTATTCTATGTGTAAGACAGTGCTGCAAGCCATTCTAGGTGTAAGACAGTGTTGCAAGCCATTCTACGTGTAAGACGCCAGTTTAAATTTTCCGAATCATGTTCTGTAAGTATGTTACAATTACAACTGTGCTACTCTCAAGCATGGGGTAAATATGATGCTAGACTCAAATTTGTACAGACCAGTTGGCACTTATGTGGGACTTAGGCTGCATTCAGTCATGGAATCTAGTCTGCACTCCCCTGTGGGACATAGGTGGGTTGCAGTTAGGGCCAGTTCTAGATGTTTTGGGGTCGTTAAAGGCATCAGAAAGCCTAGAAATCCAGTCTGACCACCCTCTAAAATGTTGAACTGTCCTTTGACGTCATCTGCGGTAGGATATTAATAAAGCACCCAATATCATGCCAGGCGCCTTTACTTCCCAGGATATTACCGGGTACTCACTGAAGGCCAGGTTGGTCGGAGAGTCCATTAAAAAAATATATAAAAAATCCTTGCCTGGATGCAGATTCAAACCTGAGACCATTGAGGCCTGCTGGAGAGTGTTTTACTAGTACACCACCATGTTCTCTCCCCCCCCCCCCCCCATATCGTAGATATGAAACAATACCTAGCAAATACTGGATTCTTTGTAGTATCCGTTCCTGTATCCACTAGTCCAGCCTTTGCCTGGTGTTTATTCACTGTGCGGAAAAGGTCTTCAACAGAGAACTGGGGCATGACAGATGCATCACCTGCAATAAACCGTGAGCCGTGACATGGCTTTAGTGCTTGGTTTTTTTAAAATACATACTACACATGTCACCTAACACACAATACTACAAACAGTGTAAGAATGGACAACCATCAAAAAATGCAATAAAGAAAAAGAATCTCTGATTTATGAAGACCTTACAGTAAACAAGGAAAGGACCTGTGTCGTGCTGTAGCACACTGCTGAAGCACACTGGATATACTGCTGTGGCACAGTGATATACTGCTGTAGCACACTGGGTACACTGCTGAAGCACACTGGGTATACTGCTGAAGCACACTGGGTATACTGCTGAAGCACACTGGGTATACTGCTGAAGCACACTGGATATACTGCTGTGGTACACTGGATATACTGCTGTGGCACACTGGATATACTGCTGTGGCACACTGGATATACTGCTGTGGCTCACTGGATATACTGCTGTGGCTCACTGGATATACTGCTGAAGCACACTGGATATACTGCTGTGGCACACTGGATATACTGCTGTGGCACACTGGATATACTGCTGAAGCACACTGGATAAACTGCTGAAGCACACTGGATAAACTGCTGAAGCACACTGGATATACTGCTGGGGCACACTGGATATACTGCTGGGGCACACTGGATATACTGCTGTGGCTCACTGGATATACTGCTGTGGCACACTGGATATACTGCTGTGGCACACTGGATATACTGCTGTGGCACACTGGATATACTGCTGGGGCACACTGGATATACTGCTGAAGCACACTGGATATACTGATGTGGCACACAGGGTATACTGATGTGGCACACTGGATATACTGCTGTGGCACACTGGATATACTGCTGTAGCACACTGGATATACTGCTGTGGCACACTGGGTATACTGCTGTGGCACACTGGATATACTGCTGTGGCACACTGGATATACTGCTGTGGCACACTGGATATACTGCTGTGGCACACTGGATATAATGCTGAAGCCCGCTGGGTATACTGCTGAAGTCCGCTGGGTATACAGCTGTAGCACACTGGATATACAGCTGTAGCACACTGGATATACTGCTGTGGCACACTGGACATACTGCTGTGGCACACTGGATATACTCCTGTGGCACACTGGATATACTGCTGTGGCACACTGGATATACTGCTGTGGCACACTGGATATACTGCTGTGGCACACTGGATATACTGCTGTGGCACACTGGATATACTGCTGTGGCACACTGGATATACTGCTGTGGCACACTGGATATACTGCTGTGGCACACTGGATATACTGCTGTGACACACTGGATATACTGCTGTGGCATACTGGATATACTGCTGTGGCACACTGGACATACTGCTGTGGCACACTGGACATACTGCTGTGGCACACTGGATATACTGCTGTGGCACACTGGATATACTGCTGTGGCACACTGGATATACTGCTGTGGCACACTGGATATACTGCTGTGGCACACTGGACATACTGCTGTGGCACACTGGATATACTGCTGAAGCACACTGGATATACTGCTGTGGCACACTGCATATACTACTGTGGCACACTGGATATACTGCTGTGGCACACTGGATATACTGCTGTGGCACACTGGATATACTGCTGAGGCACACTGGATATACTGCTGTGGCACACTGGACATACTGCTGTGGCACACTGGATACGCTGTTTTAGACCTATACGTTTGATGGACCAAACAGTTCTCAATGGGTCATATGGCTAACATACTGGCAACCTTTATTCTCAAGGAATATCCTAGTGTTTATTTCAGGCTGAGTCCATCTGGAAGTGTTCTTCTTTTTATTGGCATCCATCAGCTATAACATCCTGCGAAGAGGTATGGTTGTTCGTTCACTGTGGGCTTTAGCCGTGTTTCGAACTGGAGTTTTGCATGCACATCTGTTTTACAGCTCTGACTTATTTGAAAGCAGACTATTGGTTCCTTGCCTCTCAGAGACAGACACTCTGTCAGAAATTCCCCCTAATAAATTAACTTTTACAACATCCTTGTTGGGAAAAAAAAAAGGGGGGGGGGGGGACTGGGTCTAACAACCCCCCTCCCCCCATGCACTCACACATAAAATGGGACCCCAGAAGCGACAGGATGAGACCTAAAAGCCAAGATCAATTAGAAAAAAAATACTCTTGTTGCAGATTCGAACCCAAGATGTTTGTGCTGGTAAGCAAGCAGGCATCCATCTACAGTTTTACCAGGGCTCCCCCTGAAGCCCATAAATGTTTATTTTCTTTTAAATGATAAAACTCACCGCTGGCATGCCTGATTGGCCTCAGATCTGGATGTTCATAGGATGCTCCATGCTCCTGCTGTCAAGGAAATAAAAACAAGTTGATATGAGAGTGCAGGGACATGTTAACTTGACAGACACTAAGTGTGTTTAGCTCAAACACTTGAAAAAAACAAATCTGGCATTAGTTTCAGACAGTAGTATAATTGAAACAGTCTAATTGTTGCATGGAAATATTATGTCTCTAGCACTAAAAACTTAGCTTAGCATTGGAAAATTCTTACACTAGCACTGGAAAAGGCTGGCTTTAGCAACAACAAAAAAAGTATTCTAGTATTAAAAGAGCTAGCTCTAGCCCAGACACAGTCTTTCAGCAAAGATTCTAGCTCTAACAAAGCAATGAAAGAGTGTAGCTCCAGCATTTAAAGAACTCAGTTTCAGCACATAGAAGACACATTACTGACAGAAGACACATTACTGACAGAAGACACATTACTGACAAAAACACATTACTGACAGAAGACACATTACTGATAGAAGACACATTACTGACAGAAGACACATTACTGACAGAAGACACATTACTGACAGAAGACACATTACTGACAGAAGACACATCACTGACAGAAGACACATTACTGACAGAAGACACATTACTGACAAAAACACATTACTGACAGAAGACACATTACTGATAGAAGACACATTACTGACAGAAGACACATTACTGACAGAAGACACATCACTGACAGAAGACACATTACTGACAGAAGACACATTACTGACAGAAGACACATTAATGATAAAAGACACATTACTGACAGAAGACACATTACTGACAGAAGACACATTAATGATAAAAGACACATTACTGACAGAAGACACATTACTGACAGAAGACACATTACTGACAGAAGACACATTACTGACAGAAGACACATTAATGATAAAAGACACATTACTGACAGAAGACACATTACTGACAGAAGACACAGCACTGACAGAAAACACATTACTGACAGAAGATATTACTGACAGAAGACACAGTACTGACAGAAGACACAGCACTGACAGAAGACACAGCACTGACAGAAGACATAGCACTGACAGAAGACACAGCACTGACAGAAGACACAGCACTGACAGAAGACACAGTATTGACAGGAGACTCATTACTGACAGAAGACACATTACTGATAGAAGACACAGCACTGACAGAAAACACATTACTGACAGAAGACACAGCACTGACAGAAGACACAGCACTGACAGAAGACACAGCACTGACAGAAGACACGGCACCGACAGAAGACATAGTACTGACAGAAGACATAGCACTGACAGAAGACATAGCACTGACAGAAGACATTACAGACAGAAGACATAGTACTGACAGAAGACACAGCACTGACAGAAGACATTACTGACAGAAGACACAGTACTGACAGAAGACACAGTACTGACAGAAGACACAGTACTGACAAAAGACAAAGCACTGACAGAGACAGTACAAACCCACTTACATCATATGTCTTCTGCGCATTAGTCAAGAGACTCAGTATGTTCTGACCGGGTCCAGGACCACTGGGTTTACCATCATGAGCTGAACTGCCAAGTCCTCGAAGCAAAGCTGGGTCTATGTCAGATCTCTTATCTTCACCTCGTCCAGACACTTCTCTCAGGATTCTGAAACAGGCAGTAGATGAGAATACTAAACTGAGTACATAGCAAAAGCATCCACTTTTAGACTTCAACTACAATACCATTATATCATGGACTCTTAGGCCCGAACCAAAACTTTCAGTTATAATTCACACTTAGACATCACTCCCCTCTCGGACTTCAAAGTCACCCACTCTTGGACTTCAAAGTCATCACACACATTAGACATTACCCACACTTGGACTTCAGAGCCACTATCCACATTTAGACACCACCCACACCTTGACTTCAAAGTCATCCTTCTGCAGTTAGACATCATCCACTTTTCAACTTCAAAGCCACCATCCACATTTAGACATCATTCACTTTTGTACTTCAACCACAACTCTTTGTCCTTATGCACAACTGAACGCTAACCACAACTCTTAGCCATCATTCAGACTTTTAATTACCACTACTGGACTTGACTAACTTTTGGACAGGAATTGGACTACTCTTGGACATTATCAACGTACTATTCTTCATCTAGGTGCATCTATGCAAAGATTTAACAGCACGGCATTCTTCTTCTTCTCCTGGGTTCATCTGACGTAATTGTGTTGTGCCCATTTACAACATAGCTGCGATACTTGGGTCTATCGGCTGATACATTCGACTTCTGCAGGCACCAGCTGACGGGGTTAGGCTTCTCAGGCATCACAGAATTCAGGACAAGCCCATAATGGCTTCGTCCCCCTTCTCAACAGCCAGCAAAGAGTCTCCATACTAAGGCTACCTGTTGTCTTCTGGTTAACCACCCATCTTGCCTCCCCCCTAAGTCTCATGTGTGCTTTTTTATTCAACCATGCCTACAGTTTAATGTTAAAGTTGAGAGTATACACTTCATTGCACCAGACATATGCTTCCCAGAGCGTCACACAGAGCAAAAACTCTGTAGCTCCAGCTATGATCCATAGCGATCCCTGTAAAAGTGCACTTAGAAAGTGAACAATGTGTCTGTGAAATGAACCCATGACCTTTAGAGTGCATGGCAAACAGAACTTTGCCACGTAGACTCGCCTTGTTCTTGTCTACATTTCCCCAGCTCACGTTCGACAAAACTTGAGAAAGTTTCCCCTTTGGTCACTTTTAAAGATCTTCCCGCAACGAGAAGTTTCTCATTTCGTCACTTCTAAAGATCTCCCCGTAACGAGAAGTGTCCCCTTTCATCACTTCTAAAGATCTCCCCGCAACGAGAAGTGTCCCCTTTCATCACTTCTAAAGATCTCCCCGCAACGAGATGTTTCCCCTTTCGTCACTTCTAACGATCTTTTTCCCGCAAAAAGAAGTTATCCTTGTTGTCACTTCTAAAGAAGAAGAAGAAGAAGAAGAAGAAGAAGAAGAAGAAGAAGAAGAAGAAGAAGAAGAGGAAGAGGAAGAAGAAGAAGAAGAAGAAGAAGAAGAGGAAGAAGAAGAAGAAGAAGAAGAAGAAGAAGAGAAGAAGAAGAAGAAGAAGAAGAAGAAGAAGAAGAAGAAGAAGAAGAAGAAGAAGAAGAAGAAGAAGATGGTGAAGAAGCAGAAGGAGAAGCAGAAACAGCAGCAGAAGAGGAAGAAGAAAAAGAAGAAACCAGCTGGAACATAAAGAGTTAAAACTGTTCCAGAAAATGCGGGGTTAGAAAAAGGTATCAGAGGTGAGAACGAGCTATACTAGAGGTGAGAATGAGCTATTCTACAGACTGCTCAAACATCAAAGCTTCAGCCGTATTGCAAATAGGGAAAACAAATCACTGCAGACATGCTGGAGAGTTCCTCTGGTGCCATACAACAATAATATCAGAAAACGAAAACCAAAAGCGAAGCGGGAAAAGCACCTGCCTGTACCCCCACAGTAGCGTCGAAACCTGGGGGGGGGGGGGGAGGGAGGAGAATCAGGCCATCTGACTAGCTATACAACTGGTAAGGCTGCCAAGGGGCCTCTTCTTAACCATGTATATAAGTTCTCTTTTTCATATTACCATAAATGTATTATTCTGTTCATTTACCATACGACATATCGCCAGCATCGTCAATTTCTTCTTCGTCTTTCTCTTTCCCTTGCTTCTATTTCTTTATCTTCTTCTTACGCTTTCGTCCTCTTTCTCCTTCTTCTTTAGTTGACTTCTTCTTCTTCTTCTTCTTCATTATCTTCTTCTTCCTCTTCTTCTTTAATCTTCTTCTTCCTGCTCTTCTTTTTTTTTCTCTCCTCCTCCTTCTTTCAATATTCCGAGCCCCAGAGGTTTGCTGCTGCTTATTATTATTATTATTATTATTATTATTATGCAGTTATAACCAGGTCTATAAGGCCACTGAGCATACTCCACCATTTGAGAATGTGTAAGAAGACCAACCACCCGCACAGCCCATCCGCGACCATATATCTGGGCACCTCCAATGTTTTCTGTGTTTCAGCGACCCTGCTTGGCGCCCGTTCTTCTGCAGAAGTGCATAGAAAGGTAAAAGCCGTTCTTTACCCGCCGAATGAGGCAGGTTGTCTTCTCTATAAGAGTTACCACAGTTTACGAGAGAGAGAGAGAGAGAGAGAGAGAGAGAGAGAGAGAGAGAGAGAGAGAGAGAGAGAGAGAGAGAGAGAGAGAGAGAGAGAGAGAGAGAGAGAGGAGAGAGAGAGGGGGGGGGGGGTGGTGACGAACTTGGCTGGTGTTCAGAAGCAAAGACTCCCCGCCAAGCTTGATGGAGCAGCAGCAAATAGAATGGGAAAAGCTTTCGCTCAACAATACTCTCCTGTAGCAGTAACTCCAGCTTTAGAAACATGCCAGCTTGTCAGTGACTGCCTTCTCCAGGAGAGTACAATCGTCTGCTTTTAATTATTGACAGCAAAAGTACAGAACTGATTTTTTTCCCCAGTGACTCACATCCTCATAGACTAACAGGCACTCGGTGGGTGATTTGGCCAACTTTACTTCCCATGACATTATCTGGTACTCATTTAAGGCTGGGTCGACCTAGGAACCAATGTCATTTCTGAATTTCAAAAAAGTCCAGCTCCGTTCGGATTCGAACCGAAGATCTTCGCATCCGCAGGTAGCGTCTAGCTGCTACACCACAGCTGCTCCCAAAGACTCAGGACATATTTTTAAAGGACATGCAATTAAAAGTTGCTAAAAGCTGGCCAGTTCACCATCCATGTTGCCAGCGCCGTGTTTTCATGAATACACCACTCTTCCCTTGTGTTTTTCGGGGCCCTGTGGGATGTAGGGGTGGGTACACACCTACTTCCCTTTATAAAGTGAAACTGAGCATACTTTACAGGACGTTGTAGAACCAACACTAGTATTTTGTTGGCTGTTGTGGTTTCTCTAGGCAAATCTTGCGTTTAATAGTCCGCCACTTGATAATTCAACGGTCAGCTCTCGGTACCATGGACGAGACCAACGCAAGCCAGACTGTCCGCAGCTGGGACGGAACCCGGCACCCCGGCAATACGAAGCACGTTCGCAACGCCTAAGCTACAAACGCCGAACCCCTTAACAAGCATATCGTGAAAGGCGACTAACTAAAGGTTTGATGAAAGGTGCATATACCCAACACAGAAAGGTGCATATACCCCCAACACAGAAAGGTGCATATACCCAACACAGAAAGGTGCATATACCCAACACAGAAAGGTGCATATACCCCCAACACAGAAAGGTGCATATACCCAACACAGAAAGGTGCATATACCCCCAACACAGAAAGGTGCATATACCCAACACAGAAAGGTGCATATACCCCAAACACAGAAAGGTGCATATACCCAACACAGAAAGGTGCATATACCCAACACAGAAAGGTGCATATACCCAACACAGAAAGGTGCATATACCCAACACAGAAAGGTGCATATACCCAACACAGAAAGGTGCATATACCCAACACAGAAAGGTGCATATACCCAACACAGAAAGGTGCATATACCCAACACAGAAAGGTGCATATACCCAACACAGAAAGGTGCATATACCCAACACAGAAAGGTGCATATACCCAACACAGAAAGGTGCATATACCCAACACAGAAAGGTGCATATACCCAACACAATGTCTCAACCCTGCTTTGAAGGGTGACAGAAGAAGAAGGAGAAGGATGAGAACAAGATGACGAGGTGGAAGATGAAGAAGATGATGATGATGATGATGACGAAATGAAGAATATGATGATGATGATGATGATAAAGATCACGAAGCGAACGATAAAGATGATAATGATGAGATGCAGAAGAAGAAGAAGAAGAAGAAGAAGAAGAAGAAGAAGAAGAAGAAGAAGAAGAAGAAGAAGAGAATGATGATGACAGCGATGATAGGAAAACATAATCTTCTTCTTCTTCTTCACTTCCTCTTTTACCGCTGTGGGTGTCGAGGGAGATATAAGGTTCTGTTTCTGGCTCTTCTGGCCGCCTCGACCATGCTGTTGTAGAGTTTCTCTGATGTTATCCTTCCATCTTGTTGAAAACATAATAAGGAAAACATAATAACAATAATAATATGAATAAGCAATGAAGAGATGAAGAAGAAGACGGTGATAAAGAATGAGGAGGATAAAATGACAGCCTCTCGCCATCTTCCCGTGTAACATTACAAGACACCGAAACTCTCCTAGTAATAATGAATAAAAACAACACTGAGTCGATTTATGTTACAGAAGGTTTTCGTTTGAATCTCTGCCACAACCGGTGCAAGCGCATTCGCCTGTACTCCATGCAGCAGGGTTGTGACCCGGGAGCTCAAGTAAGGGGCGGGAGGGAGGTGGGATGGGGAGGGAGGTGGGGGGGGGGGGGGGGGGCTAAGTGGTCCTTGAACTATACATACTCTTTTCTCTCTCTCTCTCTTAAAAAAAATTATATATATATATTTGTTTACAAATTTCATACCATAACACAGTATTTGCCAAACATTTCTTAGTCGTGGCACAATTTTTCAATTAATTTTTTTCACGGCGCGCTAAAATAAGTAAAAGTATTCGAATATTTCGCGGCGCCCCTGTGAAGATGTCGCGGCTCCCCGGGGCA